AGAGAGAGAGAGAGAGAGAGAGAGAGAGAGATGTGAATTGTATGCAACCAAGAGATCATGCCCTCAATCAAAGACTGAATGTAGCAGATGTACCAAAAGGATCCAAACTTTCAAGAACTTTGATATCCTTTGACATAATAGAATTCAGGTATGTGCTGCTTGAACAGTATTATAGAATTCTCCTCTCCTTCATCTAGGGGATTTTTAAAGAAATGGAACTTTGTGCCATATCTTAGCTGTTTCTTGATCAATAGTTGTACTGGGCTTTGATGTGGAACAAAATGGGTGTTTCCAGTCCCTTCTTTCTGCATTCTGTGTTCATGCTGCATTATTTTATGTTACATTCTATGCCCCAGCCCTCACCAGACATCTCCTAAGCATCACGTTGACTTCAAGAACAGGATTGAAAGAGGGAGAAGTACACCTGCAGATGTTCTCTAAACTTCTATATTTTTGGAGGAAAGTCAAGGCAAATGGATTCAGACAGAATTTCAGCCAGTTAAAGCAAGATACCAAGTGGGCCTCAAACTCTGGCTAACTTTATAGGCCAAATGAAATGGACTAACACCAGATAACGCTAATACACTTGATAATGATGTTCTTTACTAAGATTTCTTGAAAATAAAATATTGATATGCAAGAAACAGAGGCTCTCATTGGCAATCTTCTCTTGTTAACCCCTTCTCTCAAGATAGTTCAGAGGATCCACTTAGTCACGTCCTGTAAGTCACCTCTATCCTTGCTTGAAAAAGCTGCAATTTTTCCCAGTCCAGCTTCACTCTCTTGATATTCATGACAACGATGGCTTCAGTTTTGATGCTGAGACCAAAGCCTAGTAGTTCATATATCACATCTGAAATGGGCTATAGCTGGCTAAAATGGCAACCCTTTATTCGCATTCCAATCTTTAGAGTAAAAATAGCTGCCTTTTGAATTGCACAAACCAGTATTTAAGTATAGTCTAAGGCTGGCTTGTGGAAATGTTCCTATTGTGCTTGGTCCCTTGATACATAGAACCTTGTCTGAAGAGAATAAAGTGGTATAGAATACTGGACAGTCTTTTTCTAACAAGAAACCTTTTGAAAAGGAACTTTTGTCATTACAATGATCGGAGAACAAAGAAACACTTGATCAAGCACCATCACTCTAATATCATTGTAAGATAACTTTTCTGCTCTCTAAATCAACTGTTTCTTCAGGTTTAGTTAGGATAAAACTTGAGGGGCAATTTCAATATGCCCCTCAAGACTCTATGCTCACTCAACTGCTCAGAAGAGTTAGTCCTAATTTCTGGACTTTCAAATTTTGACAACTTGAGCAGCTGCTCACGATCATAAAAAGAGTGTATCCCAATGTGCTTGAATTCCTGATACTTCCTGGGACATTTGTTTTAAATGTTTTGTCATCAGACTTGCCCTCCATCTCCAAATTCTTTTATTTTTTGGGTCTCCTTCTCAGCCCCATTCCTGCATCTCTTCTCTGTTCCCCCCGGAAATGCTGTTCCCTCTACCAACAGGTATCTAGGCATCTAAGATATTTTTCTTGCCTTTTTTTTCTCTTTCAAGTGACTTGCTATTACTGAAGCCAACTTGGATACTCTATTATATATATTTTTTTTTCCTTGGAAAAAAAGGAACTTTACCAGTGTGAGCAAGAGATGTCTGAACTCACACACATTGAAATAGTTCAGGTTGCCTTCAAAGATCCCAACAAACATAATGGTTTTGATAAGGTACTTGCAATCTATCTTACCTGTAAGCTGCATCTGCATAACCACACTGTCATTCCCTCTCTTCTCCCTTGCCTCATCCCAATTTAAATCCTACATCACCTTAGTCATTCCATGCATCTGATGATGTGACCTTTAGCTTATTAAAGATTACAGTATGCCTTAATACAATGTGTTCATCTGAAAAGGTGGTACCAGACACCTTCTAATTTTTGGCTATCATAGACTAACAATGCTTGAGAAATGAAACCAACCTGCAGTGAAACTAATCTAATGTCCTCCAGATGTGTTGCAATTACAACTTGCAAAAAGCCCAATAAAGAATGCCATCATCTACTTAGATAGCACTATATAAACAATAAATAGCAATAGTATTCTATCAGCCTAAAAATCTATGCAGGTCTGCATCCATTAGTATAGCATATACTAAGTCTGCATTTTCAAATGTACATGGAAATAAGTACAAGTGGGTGTCTTGAAATTTTCTTCCAAAGAAAATCAAAGCTTTTTCATTTAGAAACCTGCCATTCTTTGCATTTTTCTAGCAAGAATGGAGTCTCAGATCTCCTTAGTGTTGATATTTCCCTTTATAATTTCAATTACACTAATAACGTTTAGCTATTAATGTTCACTTCTCATATATCAAAACTTACCTGGAGAGTTAGCAGTAACTGAAAAGCTTGCCAAACCTGCTTAGATAAATCCCAACATGGTAATCTGATGCAAGATCATCATCTGAAATTGTATGGCACTATTGTGTACAAGATAACCAGATGTTCCCAGAAACTTTGCATGCTTCCTGATGGTGAATGCTTATAGAATCATGTAGGGGGTTCAGAGGCCACCTTATCTAACTGCCCTGTGCCCAACAGAGCTGTTTTATTCTTATCTCCTAAAGTCTTAGCTACTCCTTCCAGTTTTGTATCATCTGAACATTTCTTCCGCTGCTACCTTTCATCTAAGTTAGTGATAAACATGTTGAAAAGTATTAAGATCAGGTCAGAGTTCTGTAGCACTTCATGGGTCATTCTGGATTAAACAGACTAATCAAGTATATTATCCTTGTCAAGGAATACCATGCTAATAAAAACTCTCATTTTCACAGGAATATCTTAGCAGTCCTTATATATCATCTTCTGTCACTAGGCAGTAAAAGTCTGTCCTTGCTTCATAGTTGCGAGATCCCAGGTCAGAAATGTCTATCTCACTCTTCTGGTTTTCCTCAAGCTGTACTTCTTCCATTGCCCCAAGACATGGACCATCAGGACCAATCATACGAGGTGGTGGTGGGCCTTTGATAACGGGTCCCCGGACGACTGTAAGACAGAAATGATAACAAGCTGATATTTCCAAATGTTCACACAAGACTAGTTTGAAATAACTACATACATTATAATTCCTACAAAATATTAAAAGTGAGGCTATATTTAATACTGAACCTATTCAATACCAGTTTAAGTAGCTTAGTTTCCTGCAAATTGTACATTGTTCTGGATACTAATATTTCTGTTTGAGATCTCTACCTTTTTTTTTCTTTGAAAGTACTATAGTTTCCAGAGTTCCTTGGGGGAAATGCAAAATGCTATTAAATCAGTGTAATAATTAAATTACATGAAATCCAGTAAATCTATGACTGGGAGAAAATTCCACTGAAGGAAATGAACTAAAATTATTTGTGGTCAATGCTTCAATCAAAGCTGAAGCCCTGTGAGAGAACTCCAATTACAGACCTCTAGGATCTCCTGTGGTTTGATCTCCAGTTGGTAGTTTTAGACTTACTCTGTGTGTTTTACTTCAAAATATGCTCTCACTTGGCATAGACAGAAGTGAAGGGGCTGATTTTTAACCTCTGTAGGTCCAATTAGGATGGACCACCCCAAATGTCTTATGGATCCAGAAGGTTTTCAGCAGACACTTAAGGATTTTTCCCATTAATCTTGTAGGCAGTTCTGTCAAATGTCTGGCTGAAGGTCGTGAACATAAGATGACTGGAGCAGTTGACAGGCTTGCCCTCAAGCAGTCAGCAGATCCTGAGGTGCTCTCTGGTTTACCAGGTTTTGGGAAATGAAGCAACAGAAATCATGCCTTAAGAAAGTCAAGAAGTGAACTTGACTGAGCACAATAAGAGCTGATGCTCAAACCTACACTGTGCAGGTAAGAGCATCGAAGCACTCTTACGTCTTCATCTTTATTGTACAGTTTCAACAGGTTGTCTAGCAGCCTACGGTTACTTAGGCGGGGAGGAACAGGAGTATCTGCTGCCTGGCCAGTATGATGCTTGGCTTCATTTCAAAAAGCTGTAAAAATGGAATTATTCTACAGGTGTTTGAAAGCTGAAATTGCCTCATGCTGGTGAGCACAATTTGATGGTTGAAAGGATAGTTGTAGCTGATTTCCTCTTTTATTGTATGTTTGCTATGTTTTTTTTCATTCATACAACTGTGAACTGCTAGAAGTTTTTAGTATGATGTATAAATAACAGAAATAACAGATCAATAATAAGGATATAGGAAAATCCATTCTGAATCAGACCACAAGACCTACCTAGTCCAGTATTCTGTTCTACAGTGGCCTGCTGCAAGCAAAGACCATCCAAAGGCAGACTCTGTGAAAAAATTATTCTACTAATTTATAGAAAACCCTACACAATTTGTGGGTGTGGGAACTACTGAGGGCAAAAGAATGGGAGACAAGGAACAAGCAGCAAGGTGCAACCCAATAAAAACTTCTCTTGTGCAAGTTTCACTTAAATATTTTTCTTAACTTGATTACTCTTTTTGTTCATCTAGGTTTTAGGCAAAAAAGCTTCACATCAGATGGTGCCCTGTGTCAATTAACAGAGATAGGAACAATTTGAATGGCTCTTAGCCTTCATGCTCTGATCACCACAAGGTACTACACTGCTCTCTCTCCTTTCACAAAGCCATTTTGATTCCTCTTTTATATATTGCTCATCTTCATATATATTTGCAGATTTTACAAGAAGATACTGCCCAGGAGAAAACTAGAAGTTTACACAGAGGTAAAAGTGGAGATGCAATTCATTCTGTTGTACTTCATTTTCTTTCCTTAGTTCCTATACTTTTGTCTTACTCAACAACGAGGGCAGCACATAGACTTGATGTTTCCAGTCTGCCCTCAGAGATTCCAAGATTTCTTCCTTGAAATCTATTTTTTATTTATTTCAGATGTATAAATACATTGCAATATTACTGCAATTCCATAATTACTTCATTTTGTGTACAAATCTGACTGGCTCATGATGTTTGGCAGTACTGTGAGTCAAACAACTCTTCCTGCTGCAGAATTCTTCTTCAACATGAAATGCTCAGTAATATTAGGAGCACACGTGGCTAGCATTCAGCAAGTGATCTGCCAAAAGCAAGATGTTCTTTGGACACTTGCACTGTAGTACAGACAGGTTCATTATCTTTTTTTTATTAATGATTTGTTGGTGGTACAAATTATTATCAGACCACACATTTGCTTGGGCTGATACAGAAGATATAAATTATTTTGATTATTTTTTGCATGCATTTTAGGAAGGTTGACTCCCATCAGGACTTATTATCAAATCCTGTATTTGTATTTAGGAAATGACTTTTGAATTTTCTTATAGTTTTTCATTTCTGATGCTTTGGTTGGAGGAAAGGCAAGAGAAACCAAATTATAATTCTTAAAAGATAGTGCAGCAATTCTCATGCAAACTAGAGAGTAAGAAGGCTTGAATATCCAAAGATGCTGTTGTACACAGCAACAGACAAATGAGAGCTTCCAACAAGGTGCAGACCAATACCGTGAAATGAACAATCCTTATTCATGACAGTGAATACATCCCTTTTGCAAAAAAAGTCAACCACTGCTGCCTCAACAGCAAGAAAAGCCCACCCAAACTCATGAATTGCTTTTATTTTTTCCAACAATTAAAATCACAGAGTATAAGTGAGCTGGGTTTTGTGCTGCCAGATACTGGTAAATCTTTTATGAGCACCAAACTTATTTTGCTCCTGTTGCTAAAATTAAAATGTATTGCTCTGCAAGCTCAGCCTGAATTAGCAAATCCCCAATGTCAGGGTTGGTTCATTAAATCCAGAGGATTTAATGAATGCCCACAGATGTATTTTGCTACCATTGATCTAATGTGTGCCCCTAGGCCTAAATGCCTAAGAAGGAATAACATGAAGTAGCTACGATTTCTCCAGGTTTCAGGCTCTAGAGATGGAAGACTGCCCTTTGGAACAGAAACAGAGCTATTCAGTGGTGACTTTGCCTCAATGGCAGGTTCCAGCAAGCAACTGTGAAGAAAAGAATAATTGGGCAGTACTGCAGCTTAAGTTTGATAGAAACACAGAGAAGTTCTGCTTTACTTTGAACGAGCTGAAATCTCCAGAGCCAGATAGACCACATCTAGGGTACTGAAGGAGTCAGATAATAGTCTAGCCAAAGCACGATATATTATCCTTGAAAAATCCTGGAGAAGGGGTCAAATGTCAGAAGACTGACAGAGAACAAATATTGTTCCTCTCTTCAAAAAGGGGGAAAAGGAAGATCCAGGAACTACAAACCCCTCAGTCTGACATCAATATTTGGGAAAACCCTAGAGGAGTTCATAAGAAGATCAATGTGTAAGTACCTTGAAAACACTGAATTACCAGCTGTCAGTGCATATTTGTCAAGAACTAAAATTAACTAACTTTATCTCATATTTTCTTAATTGGATAACCTGTTGAGTAGAATGTGGGAAAGTTGTAGACAAATACATCTAGATTTCAGCAAAGCATCCAACCAAGAGCCATGTGACATTCTGAATAGTAAGTTAGTTAAGTAAAGGCCAAATGGCATAAGAACTAAGTGAAGGCATAGCTGCCTCAAAAATTGTAATCAAAGACTGTTCATCAAACTGGAAAGTCCTTACTAGGGATAAGAATCCTTATAAAACTGGAGTGAGGGATCAAGCAGGGTACTATAAAATTCAGTCTGGGACCCTCTATAATACAATATTTTTGATAATGACTTGGATCAAGAAGTGGCAGGAATGTTTATCAAATTTGCATATGGCAGAAAATTGGATAAGAGTGTAAGAAGGCAGATATAACATTACAAAGTATCTTGATAGGTTAAAGGAATGGGCTGAATATAACCAAATGAAATATAATAGAGACATACGTCAAGTCTTCATTCAGTAAATAGAAATCAAGGATACAAATATACAATGGAATGCCTACCTTGACAATAGTACTTTTGAAAAAGGGGTTAAAATACAAGACAATTTCAAACTGGATATGACTCAGCCACATGATATGTCTGGGAAAAAGGTAAATGCAATTTTAGTTACATCAACAGAAGCAGAGTTTCCAAATCATAGGAACTATAAAAAGGTGCAAAGACTCCTCCTGATTTTTTTTTTCAAATCATGGGAAGTAATTGTTCCACTTTATTCTGCTTTGGTCAGATCCAAGTATGATATTGCTGTGGACACCTCCCTGTTTTAAGAAGGAGTCAGACAAACTGGAAAGGGTACAGAAAAGGGCAGTAAGGATGATCAAGGAAATTGAAACTAAACTTTATATAAAAAAAAAAGATTGAAGGAATTCTGAATATTTATCCTTCAGAGAAGACATGCAGTGGAGAGGATATGAGGATAGTCTTCAAATACCTAAAGGATATCATACACAAGAAAAAATGTCAAGATTTGTTCAGAAAAAAAAATATCAGTAAGAGCAACTCAACACTGGAGCCAATTATCCAGAGAGGTGGTAGATTCAACTTCACTGCATGTGTTTGAGTTGAGGCTAGACGGAAATCTGTTGAACATGCTTTAATTTGGATTCCTACACCAAGCAGGGATTGGACTTGATGGCCTAAATATCCCCTTCCAATTCTGATTCATGCTTCTTATTGCTTGCTTTTTTCAGCTTTGATATATTGGCATATATATGACAGAGGAAGTCAGAATGTTACTTAATGAAAAGATTATATGCCACCCTCCCGTATTGCTACATTAAAATAAATTTATCACAATAATTAAAATGTAATCTCCATATATCTATACCACATACACAATTTATGATTACTGCAAATTGTATTTTATGGAAACTCCTGTTTTGCTTGCTGATCAGTACTTAATGTGAATTTATAAACACGTATGGATTAATTAGCATGCAGTAAACTGTGCCACAGTATGCCAATGAGGTTCACTGCCTGACAATACATTGACTTTTATACAGACTGAGGCCAGGGGTGCTTGGGCAATGCAGGGATAGTTAACTGATGTCCTTCTACATCAGCCACCAAACAATGCTTAGGCCGTTTAGAGGCCACAGAAACAATAAGGAATAGAGCTGAGGTCGGTAATCAATCAAAACAAATTAAGGTATTAGGCAAAGATGTCCCAACATAAATATTATGAAGGTTAAGCTACCTTAATTAGTAATTATTGTAATTAACTCTGCAAACCTGGACTGGAAGAAGAGAATACAGTTTAAGTTAAAAGTGATTGGATAGGCTTCAGTTCTCAAGGGATACATACTGTTTCATTTGTCTTCGCTGTAATTTCATAGTGAACAGGTTTTATCTTTTGTGAATGAATGAAGAAATCTGTTTATTAGAGAACAACCATACACGGTGCAAACAGGAGTCATTTTCAGGTAATCTCAACTCTCTGCAAAAAGCCCCATTGGCTGCCTTGGACTAACAGTTTTACTCGACATGGGATCTCATTCTATGCATGCTTATGCACGGTCTTCTTCAGAGCAAGGGAACTTACCCCAAAGTAAGTGCAGTCAACAGCATACAGCTACTTTGTAGCAATGTGCGAAAACAAGAGGCTTGTACCAGACAAGCCAAGGAGGCTTCTTTAGCCAAGAAGTGTTGCCCTCACCTAGAGAAGCCAAAAGGTGTACCTATTCATTCACTGGAAGAAACCTGGTTGGCTTCACTTGTTTAGCTCATATCATTTCCCCACAAACTGCTCTCCTCAGCAGATGAGTCTTCAGTTCCTGAAGATCACTGAACGTTCTCTCACTCTGGCTGCCACCTCCACTCAAATGATTATTTCTCTGCTTAGTATAAACGGCTAAGTATCTAGACCAGTGTTTCTCAACCTTGGCGACTTGAAGATGTGTGGACTTCAACTCCCAGAATTCC